GTTTTTTTGCTGCACGCGTGGGGTGGGGGGGGGGGGGGGGGGGGGGGATATACATACTGGCCTGTAAGTAAGAGTGAGACTGCAGCAGAGAAAGGTCAGGTTCTGTTCCCTGCCGAGCAGAACTGTGCTATGCGGCATAGTGGTGAAAATCTCAACGTTTGTATGGACAGAAAAACAAAACCTTCACTATTGGCTCTTGATCCATCTCATCGGGGCAGAAAATGATAAAAAAAAGATCCCAAAATGTACGATTACTACTGGAACAGAATTCAGTGAAGATCTTGGGTTGGGGGGAACCTGTTTTCATTGCAGCTGTCTAAAAGGAGTCTTGCTTTACATTAGCGAGATTTTGTCTTTCTTCCAGTCGTCTCTCGGACAGGAAGTGAAATCCCCCCAATGGGATGCAGGTGGCCAAAAAAATTGATAAAGGTTTTAACCTAGGAGTAGACATTTTTGGATTTATATACACCTTAAACATAGATGGCGCTGATAAAGGTCTGGTCAAGAAATAGAAGGTTTATATGCATTTGCTTTTTTAAGTGCACATGTAATGGTCCAGCATTGCTCAATTTGAGAAGCAGTTGTTTCCAACAGTTAATGAAGATCTCCTCAAAGAGTGGACATGTTAAGTTGGCAGTTGTACAACTTTGCGTGTGAAGTCTTTGAACAACCACTGTTTTTTTTCCTACATGTGGAGTGGTGTACTTTGCTTCTTGCCTAGTGTATAAATCTACTCATTTGGACATATGTTTCCATTGCCAAATCTCTAACAAATCTAATGATGTGTACAACAGTAACATCCCCTATTGTGGGGAAACCTTTTGTAAACTGTTGGTGTTCTTTCCAGTCTCCTAAATGGGATTGACAGGACACCTGTACTTCTCTGCATTAGAAAGATGCAAGATGTTACACTAAAGTGTAACACATGACGAACTAACTGTTGTTGCCCATTGGAGCCAATGTCCCAGCATTCCATCCTAATAGGGAGAAACTTTATATTTCTGTTTTCCTGACCATTTATCTTGTTGGGGCCTTTGTAATGATCCCTTTTGTCATGGGGATCACACACTACTTTGCATTCTCCTACACTAATTCTTCTCTTGTTTTTACCTAGTTATGAACATAAACGGCCTTTATTGTTCTTCCTCAGACGGCATGATATTTGATTTATAGCTAATTAATGGGCTTTTTTGTTTTCTTGTTCCAGGTGTAACAATAGAACGCAGTGTGTAGTAATCACAGGTTCGGACGTGTTCCCTGACCCATGTCCGGGGACGTACAAGTACCTGGAAGTCCAATATGAATGTGTCCCATACAGTAAGTAAACCTGATTGTCCCTTTTGTGTAAAAAATAAATAAAATTGTTTTTCTAATGCCAAATTCTCACAACACATACTATTTCTGACATTCTGAACCATTCTGCATGGAGGACAGGCGAGAACCTACCCTGCTGCGCTAGCCATGAGTCTTCCTGCAGCCTCTAAGTGTTTGCTTTCAGGAACTTGTGTTTTTCAAGAAAACATACCAGATTTAGCAGTTCTGGGTGCCAGACAGAAATGTCTACATATGCCTGATGCTGGGCCCGAACAACTTGATTTGGCTCACACTTTCCTAAAGAAGGTATTGACTCTGACTTCATTCGTGAGTTTGCTTGAGCAGCTACCTGCTGCTGCCGATCTCTTTGTGCATTTTATTAAGTTTGGCTGAGACAAATCCCTCAATTCCGGAACTGCATTAGTGTTCTGAGCAAAATCTTTTTCGGTAAACTGTAAATCAAAGCAGAGCAGGTGATGGTAGGTGGAGAAGTTTTACCTTGTCACTGCTCTTCTTTGCAAAAAAAAACAAAAAATAAGTCCCTGCTGCCGATTTATTATAATACCCTTCCTAAATAATAAATAACATAAATGTATGTACTTTAGCATTTATTATCCCTGGATTATAGGGATATAGTATTATAGCTTAAATGAAAATAGATTTACATAGCATATTTACCATCTGGTTTAAACATCCTAATTAAAGCTTAAAAGGTACAATATATTTTTATTCTAATAAGTGTAAAAAAAAAAAAAAAAAGTATGCATTGCATAAATATTCACCCTTGGCTCACTTATTTGGTAAAACCACCATTTGGATTTACCTAAAACTTTTAGAGGTCTGTCCCAAATTTATATCCCTTGCAAGCATCCTCTAGTTCTGTCAGGTTGGATGAGAGCTACAAGGTGATTATCATTGTTGGGGCTCTGCTAAAGCCAGAAAGTTATGATGTGTTCTTCTCAGAGAGCAGAACCTTTACCGTTTTTCCAGTGTCTATCACTGGCAAACTCTAAAACGGTTTTGGATTTTACATTTTCTAGTAATGACTTTTTTTTCCCATCCCTAAACACAAAGCTTAGCTATGTAGAGCTTCCAAGTTATTTCTCCCATCTCACCTGTGGACCTCTTTTAGAATTACCATTGACTTCTTGGCTGCTCCTCTAATGCTCTCCCAGCTTGATCTTGGAATTTTGGTCAATCACTGTCTAGTTGAGTTGTTTTTGTGTTATTCATTCCACTTTTAATATTGAATTTGACTGTTGCACATAAAGTTTTTATTTTTATTTATTAACCTGCCTGATTGGGTACTATTTAGACATTTTATCCCTGATTTGTTTTGATAGCTTCTTAGTCATCATGATGCCGTTTATTTAGTACACTCTCTTGGGCCTTCTAGAAAGAGGTGTGATTTTTTTGAGGTCATGTGACACCTGAATTGCACACAATTGCACACAATTGGACCTTTTAACTATTGCTTCTTATAAAGGCAATTCAAAAACTTATTTTGGGGTTCCAAAACAAAGGGGGTGAATATTTATGCAATCAAGACTTTTCAGTTTATGAAGTAATTTTAAAAACTGTGTTGATCTCACCAATACCAGAATTTTATTTAAATAGTTCTTTTTTTGACAGATGTAGATCTGCTAATATAGATTCCTTTTTTATATAAAGCTACTTGTCCACTTAGGTGGAGCCTAATATTTATTCCTGCTTCCCGTGTAAGATGCTGCTCCCTTTCTGAAGGGCTAATTACTGTATAACAGGAGATAAAGTGAAATGCTCCTGGACCCAGTTAAATATAAGGTAAGGTGAAGTTCTCCTGTGTTCACGTCAAACATCCTATCATATATGGAAGGATTAAATAAATAACAGAGCCTCTTGAATTGATTGGTTGTTTGAACCCAGGTTCACTTTTCCTGCATCTACACAATAGTAAATCTGGTCCTCAAATCATTGTAGTAAATTGGAGTCTGATGTCCACTTTTATTTTGTTGATCAAAGTAAAAGACCTATCCTCCAATGAGCCAGGTATGAGTTAGCCCAAAGCCCTACATTGTTTCATTGCATCATTTGTTTTGTATTACCATCAGACTGTAGATTCTGTTTTTTTTTCTATGCTTAATTAGAGCTGTAACCTTATTTCCTTTTAGCCAGTATTTGGAAATATGTTTGAAGAAAACCGACCTGCATCGTGCTCATTGAGTGTATATAATTGTAGAAAATTATTACTTTTGATACATTTTTTTTCATCACAGGAACCTAATTTCAGTTGCTTTAAGGAAATATTCTGTTAAGAATAAAAATGACCAGCCAAGCATTCTTGCATGTCAGCAGAAAGTACAAAGACTCAAGTGAAGCAAGGGCTCATATTTGCAGAGGGAATACTATTGCCTTCTAAAGTTGACCTGTCATCTTAAAGTGTCCGTTCTAAACTACAGGGAGGGTGGTTACGTGTGCCTGCAGCGAAAGGGCCTGTTTACATCAATTTGCATGTGTTTCATGCATGTTGGGTTACCTGTGCACATTCATTTTCAATGGGTTCTCAAGTGTCCATGCACCCAAAAATGTACCCCCCGCCTTTTTTTTTTTCTCGGCACACTGCAACAAAGTGCATGTGTTTTTTCATATGTGAGTGCACACATTCACATATGCGTTTTAAAACCCTTGTTGTAACTTGCTACAATGCATGTGTTGTGTGTCCCCCAAAGTTGAGAATTGTATCTGCTTTTATCTATGCGCTGCAATGCAGTGCTTTATCAGAAATACTTCCTAGGCATTTTTTTTGAGCACCGGGATGCATCATATGGCCTGTTGAGGTCTATGTCAACACCCCACAACACAGCTGAGAAACACACTGAAAAACAAAGTATAATGCAAATGCCTCAGTCTGAATGGGCCCTCTAAAGGTGTCAGGTAGTGATGGGCGTGTTTGCAGCTCCACGTGCCGAGCCCGCCAGTAAGCTGACAGCGACACAGCGCCAATCACAGGTACTGAGACGTTATCCCAGTCCACAGCTGCAGAGATCGGGAAATGTCTCTGTGCCTGTGATTGGCGCTGTCAGCTTCCTGGCGGGCTGGGCACGTGGAGCTGCGAACACGCCCGAGCCCATCACTAGTGTCAGATACCTTGTTTACTGCATGGGTTCTCACTGGGGACCCATTAGAAATTAATAAGAGAACCCTCAAACACATGCATGATGTATGTCCTTTGTGGGCCATGCATTACAACACGTGCACATAGGTGTAAATCTGTCCTAACACCAGGGCCGTCTTTAATAGTTATTGGACCCTGGGCAAACAATTTCTTGGGCCCCCCTCCCGGCCCTAACAGCAGCATACGGAAGAGGTGGGGGCAACACTATGTGATGCCGAACGCATAGTAAACAGAATGGTGCTGCAAGGGTTGCTGCTTTTTCTTCAAGCGAATCCCGAACAGTCTAGCACCACACTGCAACTTTTTTTAGAATAAACAAGAGAGAACGAGGAGAGAGGGAGGAGAGACAGACATGGGAGAGAACGAGGAGAGACAGACAGGGGAGAAAGCAAGGGGAGAGAAAGCAAGGGGAGAGAGAAGAGAATGAGGCGAGACAGCCAGGAGAGAGACAGCTAGGAGATAGAGTGAGGAGAGACAGCTAGGAGAGAGAGTGAGGAGAGACTTGACAGGAGAGAAAGAGGAGAGACAGGAGCGACAGCCAGGGGATAGTGAGAGACAGCCAGGAGAAAGAGCAATGAGAGAGCCAGGAGAGAGAGCCAGGATATTCAATATCCTGGTGGGAAGCTGTGTGGTGTCTCAGGAGCACTATACGGGATCTCCGGAGGGCTGTGTACGGGGTCTCAGACGGGCTGTGCAGGTATCGGTATCGGTGCAGTAGCATCCCTAGTGAATTATAAAAGTGCAATGCATTTTATAGACCAACTACACATGCAATCTAATAATAATCTACATGTGAAATCAATATATAAGTATGCAGAATCACCCTATGGTGAATAAATACAATATATAGTGAAAAAATACCTAATGTATTTATTCACCATAGGGTGATTCTGCATACTTACAGTGGGGCAAAAAAGTATTTAGTCAGCCACCAATTGTGCAAGTTCTCCCACTTAAAACGATGAGAGAGGCCTGTAATTGGCATCATAGGTAGACCTCAACTATGAGAGACAAAATGAGAAAACAAATCCAGACAAATCACATTGGCTGATTTGGAACCAATTTATTTGCAAATTATGGTGGAAAATAAGTATTTGGTCAATTACAAACAAGCAAGAGTTCTGGCTCTCACAGACCTGTACCTTCTTCTTTAAGAGGCTCCTCTGTCCGGCACTCATTACCTGTATCAATGGCACCTGTTTGAACTTGTTATCAGTATAAAAGACACCTGTCCCCAACCTCAAACAGTCACACTCCAAACTCCACTATGGACAACACAGGAGAGCAGAGAACGGAGAGTGGGAGGCGGGGCCGAGTAGATAGTGGGCAGAGCCCAGAGCCACGTCTATGCTGCTGTATGTAGCCTCCTGTCTGTAGAGCACCGATGCTGTGTACACAGACAGGGGGCAGGGCTGGTGCCAGCCCCATTGCCTACACAGGTGAGGCTGCCAGCCGTGCATGTGTTTTTCTTATGTGGGCTGAAGGGGCAGCTGCTTTGGGCCCCACAACAATGATTGGGCCCTGGGCGACTGCCCCTTTTGCCCTGCGTTAAAGATGGCCCTGCCTAACACTCATTACCATGTGCAACCTTTTTATTCAGGCCCTGAAACCTACTTTCACAAAAATAAAATGTATGTTTTCTCCCATTCATCACTATATTACTGATTGGAAAAGCCTACATAGATGTCAGTTAACCTTTGACTGTCCGCATGTGTATCTGTGGCAAGAAAAACGTGTTGCATCACAGGCAAATGTAAAGGGGCCCTTAAGTAGGGATAATGCCACAAAGGAGGGTGATATGGAAAGCAGATTTTCTCTGTGACCAGTGGGATTAAGTGCTTTTAAAAAA